TGTGTGTGTGTGTGTGTGTGTCCTGTGTGTGCATAGGTGCTTGTACATGACTCTGTGTGTGTGTGTGTGTGTGTGTGTGTGTGTGTAGACCCACTTGAGTGCAGGTGCCTTTGCAGGAGGACAGAGGTGTTGGAAATGTTGCTGGAGTAGGAACAAATTGCGGTGAGCCCCTGACATGGGTGTTGAGAATGGTACTCTAGTCCTCTGGAAGAGTAGTACGTGCTCTTGACTGCTGAACATCTCTTCAGTCCTCTACACACACCCTTTCTTGAGATAATCTTGGACTGCCATGGGATGTGCTATTAAGATGTTTGAAGAGTGAGCCCAAAGGATCCATCTGTTTTTGTCTCCATAGTTCTGAGCTCATAACTGTGTGTTGCCACACTCAGAATTTTCTTTTCTTCTTTTTTTATTTCTTTTTTTATTATCATTTATTATAATTTATTCAATTTGTATCCTGGCCCCCTCCCTCATTTCCTCCTAATTCCACCCTCCCTTCCTCATCTCCTCCCATGCCCCTCCCCAAGTCCACTGATAGGGGAGGTCCTCCTTCCCTTCTGTTTCACCCTATCAGGTATCATCAGGACTGGTTGTATTGTCTTCCTCTGTGGCCTGGCAAGACCACATCCCCCAGGGGGAGGTGTCAAAGAGCCTGCCACTGAGTTCATGCCAGACACAGCCCCTGCTCCCCTTAGGAGGGACCCTCACTTGGAGGCTAAGCTACATCTGAGCAGGGGTTATAGGTCCTCTCAAAATGACCTCCTTTACAATAGCCACAAATAACATAAAGTACCTTGGTGTGACTCTAACCAAGCATGTGAAAGACCTGTATGAAAAAAAATTTCAAGTCTCTGAAGAAAGAAATTGAAGATTTTATTTTTTCTTTCTTTCTTTTTCTTTCTTTCTTTCTTTCTTTCTTTCTTTCTTTCTTTCTTTCTTTCTTTCTTTCTTTCTTTCTCTTCTTCTTCTTCTTCTTCTTCTTCTTCTTCTTCTTCTTCTTCTTCTTCTTCTTCTTCTTCTTCTTCTTCTTCTTCTTCTTCTTCTTTTAATGTTTGAATTTGGGATCAAACTCAAGACCTCATAATTTAGTGGCAAGGATGTTGCAGACTGAGCCTTTTCGCCAGCCCTTAGATACATGCACACATTATTGGCCTTCGGATTCTTGACATCAGGAGAAGAAAACCAGTGCTGAATTGTAAAAACGTTTTCTAGAGGGCCGGTAAAATCAAACAGATTCACCCCATCATTGGTTCTCCATGTTTCCATTTTAGGAAATTAAATGTTTTTCTCATTGCTGATTAGGAGCCATGCATATGTATTCTTTTCAATCTGTGTTAAATGAGGTCATTAACCTAATAATATAATTAAAATTTTAAGACTAATAATTTTAAAATCTCCTTCAATCTTGTGATATTTTTTTTTTGGTGATCTCCATCTTTTTATTGTACAGAGAATACTTGATTCATATTAATACAAGATATGTACTGTAATTTTTCAAGTGATACAAACCAAAAAAATTCCACTCAATCTAGCTTATACATAAATATCATTTGCTAGAAATGAAAGTAGATGTTTTCTATAATTTTAGTAAAAATTGAAAAGCTAAGATAAAAGCCAGAAAGACGTGGAATTGAACAGTGGGGATGAGGTCAAGGGATCTGATTTCTGCAGGTGAAAGGACTTTCGTATTCCCTCAGCATCATCAGCATAGCTCTTGGACTCTGGCCAGCGGCCCAAATAAAATGATGAACATCATGGCTTCATAATTTCGTTATAGAGATTGACTTACTACATACTAGACAGCAGATGCTCAATCTCAGAATAATGTACCTAACTCCTGCACTTAGTGCTCAGTAGTGAGTCACACAGGAAATCTGCAAAACGTGTCCTATTTGTGCTGATGCAACCTATCAGTTTGATTCTGTGTTCATGACAAAGGAAAAATTATCGCTCCTTCTGTTATTTGGAACCTTCAATGTGCTAATGAAAGATTACAGCTAATTCATTGTCAGCAATACTTCTGATTCATTGGATAAAGTAAATCAATTATTTTCTATTAAAATCAAGTTATATATCTGAACATAAATCATAGCTTACAGAGAAGACAAAAAAAATCACATTTTAGCTAAGCCAATTTATTAAGTTAAGGAAGTCCAAATCCTTCCATACAATATTCTATCTATACCAATATTCTCTTCAAATATTGACTAGTTCTAAAAAAAATGTGGCAATAAACTAATCTATGCATTATTTGATAAAGCTTAAAGTGTGTACTAGTGAAGAGGTTTATTTCTTTTATACCAACTAGGATGACTTATTAAAACACCCATATTTTCTTCTTTTTTTAGTATGTAGACATTAAAATGATTTTTCTTTTCTTTTTTTTTGTATTTTATTTTTTCTTATCAGTTACATTTTATTAACTCTGTAGCCCAGCCGTGTCCCGATCCCTCATTCCCTCCCAGTCCCTCCCTCCCTCCCTCCTCTCCACCGTGCCCCTTGCCAAGTCCACTGATAAGGGGGACCTCCTCCCCATTCATCTGATCCTGTTTTATCAGGTATCTTCAGGACTGGCTGCAAAGCTCTCCTCTGTGGCCTAACAGGACTGCTCCTCCCTTGGGGGGTGGGGAGGCCAAAGAACCAGCCATTGAGTTCCTGTTAGAAATAGTCCTTGTTCCCCTCACTATGGGAAACCAATTGGTTACTGAGCTACCACAGGCTACATCTGAGCAGAGGTTCTGGGTTACATTCATACATGGTCCTTGGTTGCATGTCAGTCTCAGAAAAGACCCTGTGCCCAGATATCTTTGGTCCTTGTGGAGCTCCTATCCTTTCCTCATCAGTCTAACTCCCCTTCTTACTTATGATTCCCTGTACTCTGCCAGAGGTTTGGTCATGAGTCTTTGCTTTGAAAACACTGCTAGTTAGAGTCTTTCCAATGCGCTCAGTAAACTCCTGTCAATGTTCAGTGCGTATCCCATCTGTCTTTCAAAACGAGGATTGATAATCTTACCCCATGTCCGCTCT